ATCTCCTCTTTGGCAATATGGAATGCCTTCCAATGCCACTACTAACATTGCCTGTCTGTGGTTGATAATCATTTTTTTTTTTTTTTTTTTTTTTTTCTTTTGTCTTTTTCTTCTTTTGTTTGGTTATCATATCTATCTATCTATAAAACAACTGAATTAATGAATGAATGAGTCTTGTGTTGTTCACCCACACATGTCTCACCCTCGGTTATTTGATCCGGTTTTGATAAAAAAAAAAGGTGGTCGGTTCGAATAATTGAACTTCTTTCGGATTGGTAAAAGGGTCCGGTTCGGTTTATTCGGTCTCGGTTAGTCGGATATCCGAACTCGGTCTCAAACACTGATGATAAAGATATATTAATTCCATTTTTGGAAAAATATTCATAAATGGAAATTTTTGAGCAAAAGTGGACTACTATATTTGGAAGTGAATAAGAATCTTGAACCATATTTGTAGGAGATATCAAACTCGTACCTGTTTGAACAGGGGGTGGCCATAACTTATGAAACATACTGTATTTATCTCTGTGGACAGCGCTATTCAGAAAAATAGACAGCAGCCATTCAGCAAGTAGACAAGACAACAAAAAAAATGGAAAATCAAAAAAAATAAATAGAAGTTCAGCTTCGCGAATGACACAGCCATGTCTGTTAGATTAAATCGTCCAGGTATTGGTTCACTGGCAACTCACTGGCTATTCACTGGCAACTCACTGGCTATTCAATGGCAGCACACTGGCAACACACTGGCTATTCACTGGCTATTCACTGGATATTCACTGGCAACTCACTGGATATTCACTGGCAACTCACTGGCTATTCACTGGATATTCAATGGCTATTCACTGGCAACTCACTGGCTATTCACTGGCTGTTCACTGGCAATTCAATGGCAACTCACTGGCAACACACTGGCTATTCAATGGCAACTGAWAWTAACAATGGGGAWATTATTAATATATGTTTTTTAATGTAAATTGAGTGGGCTATCGAAGGGAATTGTCGAAATCTACAATTTTTCAAAGTTCAATCTCATCAAATCTCATGTGAATTGGCATTTTAATTCAWATATCAATTTAAACAGAATAMGTAATATTAAATTGAGAATATTACTGRGGTATACTCTATRGAATATCTAGTTTACGCTATTGAGTGGAATTGTCCCAAAGTTTAATTTGTATTGAAAATAACTTTGGTATAGTTTCTTAGGGTGWAWGATCAGAAWGAACAAACAAACCTAWAAAACAATGGGAACATTACTAAGATATACTAAATTGTGTAATTTAAGTACGCTATCGGAAGGAATAGTCYTCCAACACAATTTCACYAAAATKAAATCTGATCAAATTCGTGAAATCTCATGAGAATTGCCWTTTTTATTCAAATTTCAATTTAAACAAATTAGTGYATAATAAATTGARAATATTTCTGAACAAACCTATAWTGTGAAAMTATCTTTCGCTATCGAATGAAATAGTCCTGGAGTTTAATATGTATTGAGAGTATCTTCGGTCTAGTTTGATAGAGAGAATCTCCAAAATGAACAAAATAACATCTAATACAATGGGAACAATATTAAGATATGTTATTTCATCTAACTTGAATTCGCTATTGAAGATAATCCACCAATAATATAATTTCATCAAATTCAAAATTCAACAAATTCATCAAATCTCATGAGAATTGGCATTTCTATTCAATTTTAACATAACATACCCAAATAAAATTGAGAATATTACTATGATTTTATATATCGTATTATTAACTTACGCTATTAAATGGAATTAAACTAAAGTTTAATTCTAACTTCTGTCTGGTTTGAACAAACAACCGTAAGACACCTCATTTTTTGTATGAGACACCTCATTTTTTGTATGGTACATCTCATATTTTGTATGAGACATCTCATTTTTTGTATGGTGCATCTCATTTTTTGTATTTTTTTTTTAATTACAAAGAGCATATACACTCTAGGCTACTTGTTTATTGGTGTTGGTTGTTTACATGGCGAGATATTCAGTGTCGATTATGGAGTTCCATTTGTCCAGGTGTTTGATAGTTGCTTTGGTGAGGAGGGACGATATTTGTTCAGTTGGAGCTGATTGTGATCTGAGTTTAGCAACTTGAAGTTGGAGTTTGCTGTGGAGAATGGTACTTTCTGTCCGAATGATGTCTTGGGTGATGATGTTGATTGTATGAAGAGAGGAGTGCCTTTGGTTACTTTGGTGTTTCCAGTGGCAGAAGTCGAGCCATATCTGATGCATGGTGATTGCGACGAGGTTGATGCGCAGGATTGAGTGTCTGCAGTCGTATTGGGCGAGGATGGATGGAGACCATTGAGGCATGTTGATGCTCAAGGTGGTGGCAGCGAATTGGAGTCCATCAGCGTTGCGATTGACAAGGACGGGGCAGTCAAAGAAGATGTGAGACGATGTGAGGATGTTACGGACGCCGCAGGCTGGGCATGCGGGTGGAGGTTTGATGAGTGGTAGGAGCTTGGCTGAATATCTGAATATGGTGTTGTGTGCACGTTTGTGCTTGACCATGTTGATAGCTGGGAATAGTTTGGTGTAGTCGATGTTGTATTGCAGTTGTATACCTGACTGGGAAGGAGTGATAGGGTATTGGAATGTTGTCACATCTCGAGGGAGAGATGACTTGAGGTTGTTGTAGAGGAGGAGGAGGTAGTAGTGTTTGAGAGTGATCTTTTTGGAGTTGGTTGTGAAGATTGGTTGGTTGTTGAGTGTGAAGAACTTGAGGAAGGAGAGGTCGTTGGAGTGGAGTTGGAGAGGGTTGGTGTTGAATATTGGTGTTGGCATTTGTGTGACGGACTTTGAGGCATTGACGGTGAGCCAGGCCTTGAAGGTGAGTTGTTGGATGGATGAGAGTTGGCCGTAGGCTTGTGGGTCTGTCCATGGGAGGTTGGTTGCTTGGTTGAAAGAGATCTGTTCCTGAAGGTTGTGAAGCCATGCAGGGCCATATGGGAGTGAGTTGTGAGAGTTGAGGAAGTGGTCGAAGATGTATGCTTTCTGGGCGGTGTCTCTGGGTCCAATGTCGGGAAGGCCGAGGCCTCCAAACTTCATTGGTAGAAGACGTCTGAGTGGTTTCATCTTGGGTTGGAAGTAGTGATTGGGGGTGAAGTCTCGRTACGAGAAGATGAACCAGTTGATCATGTTGTTGAGCTTTCTGATGTCGTCTGAGTCTATGGAGTTGAGATATTGAAGGTAGGTGAGTTTGGAGAGGAGGTATGATTTGACGATGTTGGTGTTTGCTTTGATTGTTGATCCTCTCTGTTTCCAGAGAAGGAATGAGGAGGTGAGTTTGTCGATAGTGGCGTGAAGGTTGTTGGAGATGCCAGTGAGTGAGAATTGATAGCCGAGGTATGTTTCAAGTTGGTCTTGTTGGATCTTGTGGAAGTTGAGTGAAGGTGGGAGGATGCTGTCAAAGAATGAGAAGTATGAGCACTTGGAGGCGTTGAGCTTGGCAGCTGTTGCGAGGCAGAAGTTGTTGACGTGGCTGATTGATCTGTTGAGGTCTGAGGTGTTGCTGCAGATTAGAGCTGTGTCGTCAGCGTCAGTGTTTGAGACCGAGTTCGGATATCCGACTAACCGAGACCGAATAAACCGAACCGGACCCTTTTACCAATCCGAAGGAAGTTCAATTATTCGAACCGACCAGCTGTTTTTTTAATCAAAACCGGATCGAATAACCGAGGGTGAGACATGTGCATTTTCACTCTAGTGAACAACATCCAATACTGTACTTCTTTGTAGTCTCAGTTGAAGTTGATGATGTCACCTTGGTGGATGTTGTTGTTGTCTGGGTTGAAGCAGGATGATGAAACAATCAGTGGCAGGATACATGAAGCTCTAATTGGAGACGAGATATCGAGGAATACAAAAGCCTTTTCRATGAATCAGATCAAAAAATAACATTTTTGTTTTACTGAGAGTACATACTGTATGTATTCATGAGCAGTGTAGTACCGGTTAATCGGTTATCCGGTCGAATATCGGTTAAAGGCGATATTCGGGTAACCGAGCTCGGTTACAATCTTGGATCATCCACACGACCGAGTAAGGAATTATTCGAACCGAATGATATTGATATCTCGTTTATTTGAACCGAGTAGTATAATATG